ATGAGGAGGGTTGAGTTGTCTTCTGTCGGCAATGCCACTGGTGATTCAGACAAGAAGTCCAGATGTTAAGAGACAAGAGGCAGTCCTGCTAGCTGAATGCTTGTAACTGCGGGCTTAGTCTCCACTGGGCTGCAGTTTAAGCAACTACCTTAAAACACTAGTGGAATTCAGCAGGGGATGAATTCCTCTGTAGGCAGGTACAAGTCTTTATTAAAAGCCTGAACTGCAAGTACTAGTCCTTGCAGCCTCCCCTGCATACTGTATTATGTTCTAATTTGATCATAAAAAAAACCCCAGAAGTATGAAGAGTAGCTTGGTCAAGACCCTGACCTCCAGGCAGGGTTAAACATAGAATGCAAATGTGGACAATTCTTTACCAACATAACAACCTCAGCTCACTAAAGACTAAGACAGTATTTTACAACTGTATATATGAATCTTCTGACACATTAATATATCTTTACAAATTTAAAAATGTGTGTTACCCACATTCACAGGCCCCAATTCTCCTGGGGCAATTTAACGACTCTGATATCTGCTAGAACAGCAACACAGCAGGAAACAATCCAGATTTCTGGATTGCAGTGATGGTAACTTCCTAACACATGTGAGCTGATGAGGGCAGGTGTTCTGCCTGGACCTCATACTTGCCAGCAAGGAGGAACTGGTCAGGTTGTAAGGTTCAGGATCAGTCTTGGTTGCAATAACCATGTGGAATGCAGGATCTTGCAAGGAGGGAACAAAGCTGAAAGACAGGACCACAGCCCTGGTGTTCAGGAGAGCAGACTTTTTCATTTTCAGGTATCTGCTTGGAAGAATCCCATGAGGTACAGACTGAGAGATAAGAGGATCCAGAAGAACTGGTTGATTTCCAAGGATCTCCTCCTCCAAGCTCAAAAATTGTCCCCTTCCAAGTGCAGGAAATCAAGCAAATGTGGCAGGAGGCCCACGTGGATGGACAAGTAGCTCTGGACAAAACTCAAAAATAGAAAGGAAGCATACAAGAGGTGGAATCGGGGCCACGTGGCCCAGGAGAAATACAAAGATTCTGTCTAAGAGTGGAATGATAAGGTTAAGAAAGCCAAAACCCACATAGAGATGAATCTTGCCAAGGGGCATGGACAACAACAAGAAGGGCTTCTACAGATGTAAGAGCAGCAAAAGGAAAACTAAGAAAAACGTGGGCCTGATGCTCAATGGGTTAGGAGACTTGGTGACATGGAAATGGTCGAGATACTCAATGTCTTTTCCACTTCAGTTTTGATGCGTAACACTGACCTTCAGGAATCGCAAGCCCCTGAGACTCGTGAGAAAGTCTACAGAAAGTGGGGACTTATTCTTGGTGAGAGAGGATCAGGTTAAGAAATGTTTAAAGAAATTGGACATACAAATGTCTATGGAATCTGATGGGATGCACCCATGATTGCTAAGGGAGCTGGCCAATGTTATTCCAAGGCCATTCTTGATTGAACGCCCTCTTTAATGATCTGGATGATGGCACAGAGTGCACTTGCAACAAGTTTGCAAATGATAGAATACTGGGAGGAATGTCTGATATGCCAGATGGTTACGCTGCCACTCAGAGGCACCTTGTTAAGCTAGGGAACTGACCACACAGGAACATGATGATATTCAACAAAGGGAAAAGCAAAGTCCTAGACCAAAGAAGGAGTAACTGCATGCACCAGTACAGGCTTGGCACCAACCAGCTGCGGTTTGCAAAATCACAGAATCACAAGGTGGTAGGGGTTGGAAGGGAACTTCAGAGATCATCTAGTCCAACCCCTCCTGCCAAAGCAGGTTCACCTAGAGCGAATTGGACAGGAATACATCCAGGCGGGTTTTGAATATCAGCAGATAAGGAGGTTCCACAACCTCTCTGGGCAGCCTGTTCCAGTCCTCTGCCACCCTCAAAGTAAAGAAGGTTTTCCTCATGTTGAGGTGGAATTTCTTGTGTTCCAATTTCTGTCCATTGCCCCTTGTCCTGTCACTGGGCATCACTGAAAAGAGTCTGGCCCCATCCTCTTGACACCAGCCCTTTAGATATTTAGAATCATTGATGAGATCCCCTCTTAGTCTTCTCCTCTCCAGGCTGAACAGATCCAGCTATCTCAGTCTTTCCTCATAAGAGAGGTGCTCCAGTGCCTTGATCATTTTTGTAGCCCTCTGCTGGACTCTCTCCAGTAGTTCCTTGTGTTGCTTGAACTGGGGAGCCCAGAACTGGATACATTACGCCAGATGCAGCCTCAGCAGGGCAGAGTAGAGGGGGACGATGACCTCCCTCGACCTGCTGGCCACACTCTTTTTAATGCACCCCAGGATACCTTTGGCCTTCCTGGCTACAAGGGCACATTGCTGCCTCATAGTCAACTGATTGTACACCAGGACTCCTGGGTCTCTCTCTTCAGAGCTTCTTTCCAGCAGGTCAACCCTTAACCTGTACTGGTGCATGGGGTTATTCCTCCCTAGGTGCAGGTCCCTACACTTGCCCTTGTTGAACTTCATTAGATTGCTCTCTGCCCAGCACTCTAGCCTGTCCACCTCTTGCTGTGTGGCAGCACAGCCTTCTGGTGTGTCGGCCACTCCTCCCAGTTTTGTGTCATCAGCAAACTTGCTGAGGGTACACTCTGTTCCCTCATCCAGGTCGTTGATGAATATGTTGAACAAGACTGGACCCAGTACTCACCTCTGAGGAACACCACTAGTTACAGACCTCCAACTGGACTCTGTGCTGCTGATCAAAACCCTCTGAGCTCTGCCATACAGCCAGTTCTCAACCCAACTCACTGTGTACTCATCTAACGCACACTTCCTAAGCTTGCCTGTGAGGATGGTGTGGGAGACAGTGTCAAAAGCCTTGCTGAAGTCGAGGTAGACAACGTCCACTGTTCTCCCCTCATCCACCCAGCCATTCATTCCATCTTAGAAGGCTATCAGATTGGTCAGTATGATTTCCCCTTGGTAAATCCATGTTGACCACTCCCGTTTAGTAGAAGAGGCCTTGGGGGCTCTGGTGGACAACAAGTTGAACATGAGCCAGCCATGCATTCTTGAGGCAAAGAAGTCCAACAACTCTCTGGGCAGAATTAGGAAGAGCATTGCCAGCAGTCTGGGGGAGGTGATCCCCCTCTACTTAGGCCTGATGAGGCCGTCTGGAGTGTCGTGTCCAGTTTTAGGCTCCTCGGTACAAGAAAGATGTAGACATACTGGACTGAGTCTAGCAGAGGGCCACAAAGATGGTAAAGATGCTTTCATATGAGGAAAGACTGAGAGAGCTGCAATTGTTTAGCCTGGAGAAAATAAAGCTCAGGAGGAGATCTTACCAGTATGGAAAAACACCTGATGGGAGGAAGCAAAGAACATGGAGACAGGCTTTTCTAAATAGTGACCAGTGGTAGAATAAGACACATCAGGCACAAACTGAAACACCAAGAAATTTCATTTAAACATAAGAGAAAGCTTGTTCACTGTAAAAACACAGGATAAGGTTGTCCTGGCAGGTTGTAGAGTTTCTGTCCTTGGAGATACTGAAAACCTGACTGGATGTGGTCCTGAGCAACCTTCTCTAGGCAGAGGGATTGGACTCGATGGTCTCAGGACACCCATTCTAATTTCACATATTCTGTGGTATTCTATTTTTTTCTGTCTTCCACTCAGACA